AGAGAGAGAGAGAGAGAGAGAGAGAGAGAGAGAGAAACACTCATTAGCAACAACACCTGCAACAAATTAAAAAGGGGACAATTAGAGATGTATAAGAACAAAGCTCTCTGGCAAAACATGCAAAAAATGAGGCTGCATTAGCGAGGTCTCCTGAGAAGATTGGGCTGTTCTTATTAATACCAGAGTTGCACATTTGGAGATTGGGTATGTTATGAAAGAGGTGAGGTACCCTCTCATCCTTGATGGGGTTATTAGTTCAAAGTGGCTCTGCTTGAGGGTCAGAGGTGCAAAGCAGCCCCTCGAGCCAAGATTTAATGGCTGCTTTCAAATACCGTGCCCAACAAGTCAAAATGTCAAAGTTGTTAAAGGAGCCTACGAAATCGTAACACTAGTTATAGAGGGGACCCTGTGCACAGGTACAGAGGATCAGGGCGTCCACATCTGGGCCAACAGTGGAGAGCTAGGTTCCCACAGACAGGTCAGCACAAGCTGAAAGGCAGAGTTGAATGTTCTTAATGGGATAAGAAAGCAACATATTGAAGACTTACACAGAAATGAAAATAATCAAGGCCAGAATTTTACAATCATCTTTGGAAGGTAGGTTTACAAATGGATCGCTCTGATGATTGCATTACTATTGGAAGCTTTGGGTAACCGTGCAAAAGCCCAAACAGACATAATTAACCCAGGTGTCAGACAGGGGAAAACAGGACTCCAGGAACATCCTGTGTTCCCAGCCGCTTGCTCCTCCCCGGGAGAAATCGTGTCCTGCTAGCATGGGACCTGGGCCAAAAATACTGGCCAACAGGGCAAAGGTGACACCATGAGCCTCTGCCACTCATTATTCTGGTTATTGTGCCGGGGAATATTGCATTTAAATTCCCAAATCACTCAGATGTCAGTGCGACTCTCACCTGACAGCCTCGTAAGCCATCGTACACGGGAAGTCCCAGAGGAGCTAACTATTTCTATGAAAGCTCGCTCAGTTACCACCCAGACACAAACACACTCCTGCCAGAAATGACAAACTGGAGGGGCGGCGCTGCGGCCTGCGCTGGCACTGGCGGCTGAGCGCTCAGCCCTGGGAGGAGCCCCAGCCAGTGCCCCGCTCCAGGCCCTCAAGCCCTCAGCGGGGCTCCTCCATCTCTCAGCGCCAGTGTCATGGTGGCCCTGCCCCTCTCCCTGGATGAAGGTTCTCCTAATGCAGATGAATGAGGGTCGGAGCTGGACCACATTTCCCATCTCACCCCAGGGCGGCATCAGGAGAAACCTGTTATAGAGTCTGCCTGGCCTTGAATGTACGTCTTGCTAGAAAACTCTCGGGGGGGGGGGGGAATTAAAAAAAACGTGCCTGGCGTCTATTTTTACAACCCGAGAAAATGTAGTAAAAATAAAATAGCGTGGCCGGCAACGGCTTGGATGCTTCTCTCTACCAAGTGAGCTCCACGCTGCCCAGAAAACAGCATGCCCCTAATTAATTCTTCCAGCAGCAGGCACCCCACTATTCATGAACAGGTAGGGAGCTCCTCCTGCCTAGGGACAGCTAGGGCGCAGGGCTGCGGGCTTACAAGGAGGAGCCTGGCATTCGGGCGTCCCAGCAGGACCAGCGGCTGGGCTCAAGGCTGGGAAGGAGCTGTTCGTGGTGGCCAGGAGGCGGCAGAGAGGCCCAAAGGCCTGAAACAGAGGCGTGGTGTTGCTACTTGGAACTCTACTAATTGCGGGCTTAAATGTCACACATTCCCGGGAAACCGGGTGGGGGGGTGCGGGGGGGAGGGAAGCCAGCAACAAAATCTGCGAGGGGGGAGGTGTGTGTGTTTACAGTCAATCAACTGGGTGCTGTTGGCATCCTAGGGGTAATTGTAAGCTCAGCACTCAGATATTAGGAGTTTTTGCCAAAAAAGAAAAATGGGAGGGGTGGGGAGGTGCAAGAGCCCCTGAACAAGGGAGAGGAGACCATCTAGGGAGAAGCCAGCAGGGAATTTCAGAGTAAGAGATTGTATCCTGGTGGATCGTTTTCTCCTTGGAAAATAAATCTTCACCTGATATTATTAAGAAACTGCAGTTCCCAGAAACAAATAGAATCAATGTGCTTTATTTTCTTTTAAGAGTCCTCAGGAACCGGGGGAGGGGGGCTGATAGCCAGGGTATTAAAACCTGAAAATTAGATTTTATCAGGATTTCTGAACTCAGATTTCTCTGTCTTATTGAATTAGCGCCTCTGGGAGCTGGCTGGGCTTTCGATCTGGCTCTTCGTGGAGTAGCGGGCTGTGCCCTGGCCTCGTGGGAAACTTGTCCCGGCGGGCGCTGGCTCCCAGGGAGCTTTGGTGGGATGAGGGAAGCCTATCCTCCGAGGTCTGCATTCTCTTTCCAGCAATGCAGTGGAAGATATGGGATTTGCTTTGGGGAGGAGGGACAGGAGAGCCCTATCCGACCAGGGTCACCTTTCTGTCTCCTGCTCCAAGCAGGGCCCTGTGGCTTCCCAGCGCTCATCACCGGCTCAGTGCGCACGGGGGTTCCCGAGTCCCCGTGCACCCTGCTTTGCAATCGTGTTTTCCCTCGCTCGCAGCTCCCCGTGGCGCTCTCTCTCTGTAGCAAGGAACCGGAGAAAGTTGGGAGCACTGTGTGTGCGGGAGCAGGAGCCCCGAGCGCCCGGGGGCTGAGGACGTGGGTCCCCGGTGTACAGGCGGCCGCCCATACTGAGGACGCCAGGAGTTGGGAGTCCGCGCGGCGGGCTGCAAACCGTGTGCACCGCACATGGAGCCCGGCAAGCCCGCCGCTGCTTTTGCCTTTCGAAGTTGCAAGTGAAACACCGAACAATTCATAATCAAGCCTTTCATACGACCTGGCCAGCATCGAAGTGGCCCCCTCCTTTGGCACCGCCTCCCTTAATAAAAACACATCCAGCAGCAGGAAAGCACCCAGGAACGAGCTGCACCCCCATTCCGCGCGCTGCTACCCACAAGGATCCCCAGCCAAACCCGGTAACCCACTCCAGGGCGGCTGCACCCTTGAGACCGCGGTCGAGATCCTGCCCTGCCCAGGCTCCTGCCTCGCGACTCGGAGCCCAACTCCAAGCTGCACTCGCTGAGCTGGCGCCCGCTTGCTCCCCACCTCCACCTACCGAGCCCCAGCGAGGCACGGAGAGAAGTTTCCAGCTGGCGGAGAGTTGGGGGCGCAACTGTGCGCTTGTCAGTTTGCAGAGACTCGAGGGCGCTGGGTGCGCGGCGATTACAGGGGGTTCCGGAGCCGCGCTGGAGAAGGGCGACTTGCCGTGCGGGCTCTCAGTCAAGCCTCCTCCCAACGTCCACCCCCACCCCTACCCCTCCAGCCACACACACAGAGGGAAAAGCCGGCCTGGGGTGGCGGGGCGGGGGGCGGGGTGGGGGAGGCAGAAGAGCCAGCGACTCCTTTAAGATGCAGCTCCAAGCGCGCTCACACCCCTCTAGGTCCAAGCCAGCCCCCAGCCGTAGCAGCCGCTACCCAGTAACTTTTGCAGCGAGCTCGAGCTGCACGGTGCTGGAGCCGCTCCGCGGCCGGAGTGCTGCTCGGTCACCAAGCCCCGCGCGATGCAAGCGGCAGCGGAGCTGCAACCTTACCCGGCTCGGCGGCTCGGGGCGCAGAACGAGGCCGCCGCCGTCCTCGCTCGGCGGTGGGTGCGGCGAGGCCACGCGGGTGGGGGGCGCCGTTAAGCCGGGGTCGGGACGCCCTGGGGCCGCCGGGGGCGCCGCCCGCTGCTGTCCCGGCCGCTGGGGCCGGGGGAGGGGGCCACGCGCGCAGCCAGCATCCGAGTCCGAGGTCGCCGCTAACAAGTGCAAACTTTTGGGGCCCCCCGGGCGGCTCGGGGAGCAGCCGAGCTCGCGCGCCCCGCAGCCCCCGGCCTGGGTGGGCTCCGCGGCTGCTGCTGGTCGCGGCGCCGAGACATCCCCCCTCCCCGCCCCAGCAGGGCGCGGGCCAGATGGCGGGGCGCTCAGGGCCCCCCCGAGCGCCGCTCCAAGTTAATGCCCAGGCGCAATCCTCTTGCCATCGCTGGCGATCACCATCGGGCTTTTATCTCTCGGCCTGATCCGGGCTGCGTAACTTCCTCTGTGTGGCTCTAACACACCATCCCACCACAGAGCAGCGGTCTTCTTAAAGGTGCAGGGAGGAAATACTGCGAGACTCCGGGGACGCCACGGCCCGGGGAGGGGGGCGGCGAGCAGGGGTGTCCCCGAGCGCCCGCGGCCAGGGGGGACCCCAGCAGGCGGCCGCGGGAGCAAGCCTGCTCCTGGGTTGGGGGGTCGCTGCCTACACATGGCCTCCGGGCCCGGGGGCCAGCGGGTCCCTGTGCGCAGGACGCATCCTCTGCCGGCGGTGCGGGTCAGGCGCGGCGGGGCTGCAGCTTCCTTCTCCAAAAGCGGGAGGGGGTGGTGGTGGAGGGTGGGGGGGCTTTCCGGGTGCCGGCGCCCGCGGTTGTGGGGGCTGCCCCATTGGCACAAGGAAGGGGGCCGAGGGAGTCGGGTCCCCCACCCCAGCAGCCCAGGGCTCCGGGCTGCTTCTTTCTCTTTCTCTCTGTGAAGGGCTGCCACCCAGAAGGCCCAGAGCAGTGGGTAAAGGGGTGGGTGGGTGGATTTGGGGCGATGGGGAGGGGGAGCATCTGAGCGCACAACCAGAGCCTGAATACCAGCTGACACATCGCCGCCTCCACCCTCATGGGCCCTGCTCGGGAGAAGCCAAGCTAGCTCTGCAGGGAGTGCAGAATAGGGGGCAGGGGGCTGGCTGGGGGTTCTGTACCTCCCTGGGGCAAGGCTGAGAGCAGGCGCGGGAGGACTCTGGCAATGCCGGGCAGTGGCCATTGAGTTGGCACCTGCGGGCAGCCCTGGGCTCTCTGGCCCCTGGAGGGTTCCTGCCAGCCTGCTTCCTGGGGCTGTGTGGAGGGAGAGCTTGCACGGTCTCCAGAAATGCTCCTGATTTGGGAGTGCTCCTGGCCTCCTTAGGAGGGTGGGCTGGAGGAGCTAGCACTGCCATTTGGAAGTATCAAGAACAAAGGGCCTGAGGACAGAGAGAGGGAGAGAGAGAGAGAGAGAGAGAGAGAGAGAGAGAGAGAGAGAGAGA